AAAAAACTGTGCACTTAAATTGAATTCTCACTATGACAGTGTCCTCATCTTGAAAAACTCTTCTGTAATGGGAAGACCAGATAGAGTGGTTCCACCTCAGCGTCATCCACAGGTATCCTTGCCAACACTGACCTCGTCTCTTTAAATACAAAAGTAAAAGCAATGCTAAAAGTTTACTAAACAGAGTAGCCTAATGATCTCATGTTCTAAGACCGAAACAGCCTGATTTCCAACTGTAGGCTAACACTAGACAAGTGACCCTTGTAACGCTCCAATCAGACTTGACTCTCCCAGCCCCCGGCCTGCTTGCCAGCAGAGGCACTATTTTCACCAGGGAACTAAGCTCAAAGCTGTCATCAGCAAGCACAGGATGTCATAAAGGAGATAAGATAGGATGAGGAATTTCCAGGTCCCGAGATATCTGGAGACATCTGGCAACATCTGGAGACACCCAAAAATTTACACCAGACACTTCAAGGACTTTTCCCACTGAGATTGAAGATAGCCAGAGAAATTTGACTACAGATATAAAAATCTTCTTGCCTAGTGTCCCCTGCGTTCTTCCCATCCCTATAGAAGGGACACACTTATCTTTGTTCCCTGTAGACGGCCTTGTCACTCTCTGTCCGCCTGCACGCAGGCACAATAAATTCCACACCATGTTGCCTTTACACAAGCCTGGTGGTCTCTGCTGGTCCCTCCATCCTCACCCTGAATGTTGCCATCGTCAGAGACATAATTACAGTACTATCCTTTACATAGAGTTATGGGGATTAAACAAAGTACTTAATACAGTATACAGAGAAATTTGATTAATTAGAATTAATAGTGCAGTATATTATTAAGTCCCAAATCACAATCATCAAGCAGGACACTGTGGTCATTTTTATCCCTAAAAAAAGAAAAACATGCCTATGATAAAGAGGATGTACCTTGAGATTGTGTTTTAAAAAGTCTTCATAGATGTGGTAAAACTTAAACTAGAGTTGTTCTTATTAGACTTTTTAAAGGTATTATTATTTTGGAAAATACTGATATCCCACTCACATGGTTTGGCAATGTAAGTTTGGATAAAAAGATGAAGATTATGTGACAGATAAAATGTAGTTAAAACTACATGATACTGAGCCACGCTAGGGACTCACTTAATGGTACTTCTCCTAGGGTGGCAGCTAGAAATAGAACTGCTTAAAAAGAGACTTAAAGGAGATGGAAGCTTTTTTTATTTCACTTAGGAGAAATTTTGAGACAGTAAATCCAAGGTTTATGAATCCATGGGATTTCATAGATCTTTTCCCGTCCCACTCTCTAGGCCACAGTCCGTATGATGCAAGCTTTATTTTCATTTTCCAACATAGTGGCTAGAACTCCAGTCCTTACATTCATGCCTTAAACAGCAAGATTTTAGAAGAAAAGAGAAAGGAAGTTTCCCTGTTTTTTTTTTTTTTTCAGAGAAGTTTCCTCCTGGTATTGCTGATACGTACTTGGTCACATGATCATCCTTAGCAGCAGGAGTGGGAAATGTAAACTTTAGTCTAAAATAAAATTTTTCTAAAGACAGAATACTAGATACTTGAAGGAAGCTAAACTTCCCAGACACTTGAAATTTATTCTTTTTCTTTGTATATCCTTTCTCTCTTCCCATTGCTAGTTCCTTTTTTTTTCTTTGTATTGTTTAGGGTTCTGTAGAGGAACAGAAGAGAGAGAGAGAGGAAAGAGAGAGAGACAGAGAGAGAAGAGAGAGAGAGAGAGAGAGAGAGAGAGAGAGAGAGAGAGAGAGAGAAGTGAAATAACAAGCAGTATTTTAGAGCTAAAGAAACTAACTGCCCAAATAAAAGCAAAAACATTTAAAAAAAAAAAAACCACACTCCCTAACTCACTTAAGATACAAGAATTAAAATAAAAGAAGTGTATATTCAACTCAAGAAGATGTAAAAAGGCCAACAAAATTAAAAGTGCAGAAAAAAATCATTCATGTAAGAGCTGAAAATGACAAATGGGAGAATAATCAATTTGGTAATTAAATCTACTATGCTATTTTCATAGGGCAGTCTCCTTGTGCTTCTCAGCAACCAAAATCCTCTCTCTCTCCTTGGGACCAATCATTAAGGGACATGAGCTGGCAGAATGTCACGTCCCATTTGTAACATCAGTAGAGGGCAATAAATGTTTGTTGAATAGTTGGAGATAAAGCCTTGACATTCCAGGCTAAAAGGAGAGCCCTTCCTGGCTGCTTATGTGAATCTTTACCACTAAAATCAGACCTGGAGCTACTGACAGACATAGGCACAGAGGAATGGTGCACCACAATGCCTTCTGGGGCCTCTTTACAGAAAAAGTATCCTACGATCTACTGATTTAATTCCATTTAATTTTGTGTGCCTCCTCCCTCCTGCCATCTCCATTTCTACCCATGCCCACACCAGAGAGCTAGTTTCAGCCTCCTCTGGGACAGACATTCTTAACCAGTTCAGGAGGATATGCACTTGGATGGGGAAAAAAAACATTGTTTTCACTATAGTCAACCCATCACACCTTAGCATTTCCTGCCTTTGTGAAACAGGTAAAACAACAACAGCAGCAGCAACAAAACCCATTAGTATTAGAAGTCTCTGGGACTGTCACTGGGGAGGAATCACAGATGCTTTCTATCCTACTGAAGTTGTATGAGCAATCGCAAAAGATTCACATTCTTACTTCAAAATTATGGTAGTTATATGCCCTGGGGCTAAATGTTACTTAATGCATTAAATATTTATTATATTTAATAATAAAGAGATGTTACTAAAAAGAAAGATTTACCTAATTATACCATAGACTCTTAAAATGTTTTGATAACTGCATTTCAGTATCATTGATTTCTTTTGTATTTCTATGTATTGTATTGTAGAAATTGGAAAGTATTTTTTAAGAAGAAGCTATAAACTTTACTAAGCATCAAAAGTAGCCAAGGTTCTTGAAGTTTAAGGATTATGCCTTACATTCATCTACTGAGACTGAATAAAACTTCCCCAAGGAGGGAGGAAAAGGTGAGTTGTGCTGAATTGTTTTTTTAAGTTAATTTAGGAGATGATTTATCACTCAGGGATCACACTCCAGAAAAAATCCCTTAAAGGCTGCAGCACAGAATGCCTAAAATACAAGCTCTGGAGCCAAAATTCTTGGCTTCAAATCTCAGCACACTGCTTGTGTGACTGTGAACACAAGGCACAGTCTCTGAGATAAGGCTCTGATACTTCTTAGTTAGGTCTCTGTGCTTTTCCGTATTTTTAGTTACCTATCCCAGGTAGATGACCCTATCACTGTGTGAGAAGGCTTTGCTTCCAGTGAAAAGCAATTTAAGTTTCTAGGAACAGATAAAAGAAATGTTTCTCTTCCCATTGGAATGCTCATTTTTTACTTCTCTGCACCCCACTGTTCCAGTTTAAGTTCCACTTCATTCAAAAACCTCTCTTATGTCTCTTGCTTTCATTGGCAGGGGCAGGAGGAGGCCCTCTGATGTCTCCGAACTTTGGCACACAGGGTCTGCCAGCCAGTCTGGATATTCAGCTAAGCCTAGCTTTTTTATCTCTCTCTTCTGCTTCCCAGCAAGCAGCTGTTCTCAGGAGCAGGGACTTACTGTCTTTCTTTTACATTCCTAGGGACCTCCAACTAGGCAAGATAAAAAAGATAAACTATTAAACACATGGAAGGTGTGCTTTCTCAGCACCTCCTGTCATCTGTGTCTGAGCTGTGAGGACTCAGGGGTAGAATCAGCTAAACTTGGCTTACAGATGAGCTAGGAATATCTTTGCAGAACTCTTCAAGGGTCTCTAGAGCAGGCCAGGCTAGGTAGGGCTCAACAGTTACCTCAAGGGTTCTTGGAAAGGAACCTCCCTTTTCTACCATGTTGATGCTCCCTGCATCCAGGAGTACCATGATATGAGAATTCTGGATTAAACTCCAGGACCCTGGCAGCCACAGTGACCCTGGTGTGGAAGACCATCTACCCCTGTGGCAGGCTGAGCTGAACAAGTTACGGGACTTGTCTTGGGACTTGAACAAGTTACGGGACTTGTCTTAAATAAGAAAGGGCAAGTCACTCTGTAGCTCTCCAGGCTTACTGGAATAAAAGCAGACTGGGACCGTGAGCATATTTCTCCCCTCTACTGGACTTTAATTTCATCAACTGTGAAATGAATGTTTTGAATTTGATACTCACACTCTGAGAAGGAGACTTGGACTCACTCCTTATGGATACATTCCAAAATTTGTCATATTTTTCGAGAAACAAGACTCGTGTTTATAATTTCCTGGTTATCCTACAAATTTTCTAGCACTCTTTCCCATAAAGAGCATGGAACTTGTTTCATGCTTCACAGTGTGCTGAAGTGACCACCACATTGCCTATTTTGGGTGTCTTTAAGAAATTATTTTAAATATGTACTTGGTAAAAATCTGAAAAGCTCCTCTTTTATTTTAGTTATGGAAATAGTTTGATTTTGCAAAATTATGTCTATTTTCTGCATATTGAAAGTATTTAGAGAACAGAAAAAAATATATATAATCATAAGTGTCACCTTGTTGGGCTTGGCACCAATTTGTGACAATGCTATCAACTGGGCAACCAGTTCAATGAACTTGAATATGGAGTAGTATTATAGAGTGGCCTCTTTCACTTTTCATATATAGACATGAAGCCTGTTCAGCTAAGACAGCCATATCTTATGCCTTTGGCATAAATGGGTCCTCAGATTTCAAATCTTGGCATTTAGATGTTAAAAAGTATCAATGATATTATCAGAGCAGATTTAAGGAAAAGATCTGTAAAGGTCTATAAGTCACTTCAGGATGGAGAGGGGAAACTTGTAAACATTAACAGCATGAGACAGCACTGCTCTCACCATTCATATGATTGTGGAATCTGTTCAATGTTCACTCAAAGAACTATCACACTAGAACTAGGAAAAGGATTGCAGAGACAGAAAGTAATAGAACAGTATGACCAATGACCATATATACACATTTATTTTTATTTTACTTGGTAACCACACAGTTTTGTTACTATAAAATCACAAGCCAACAATAATATCTAGAAATTACAGAGAGTTAAACAAGTAAGAACACATATATTTTAGTCTGAAAAGCAAGATGGAGTTTGGTTGTCATGTAAGAAAAAGATTATCCAACATAATCAACTCTTGCTTAGCAATCTTCATGGAAATGGTTAATATAGCCCAAATAAACTGTATAACTTTCTTACTTTTAATCCCAAAACTAACAAGTGATTTTACAATGTAACATAAAATTTTACTTAAAAAATAAGAATTGCTCTCCAACATGTATTTGGTTTAGGTTAATACTTTAACTGATTTTTATTGTTTGAGAGAATTTTAAATAAACTGCAGGGTCCTTTGGGTACCAAAAGGAAATACAGAAAAAAAGGCAAGTCTTTAAAACAGGTAAATTTTCTAAGGAAATAAACAATAAAAAATAAACTTTAGTGTCAATAATGCAGTGCTGACTATATATGGAGGGTACATATCACACAGTAATCACTTAACCTTATAAATGTCCTGTTCTTGAATTAAATAAGAAAGGGCAAGTCACTCTGTAGCTCTCCATGCTTATTGGAATAAAAGCAGACTGGGAAACATTACTATTTTGCTCAGATTCATATTGACAGGGAATACATAGGGGAAGGTGGTTAGTACTTCCGAGATCCCAAAGATGCTCTAATGCTAGAGTTTTCAAAACCTTGACTCATCTCCCGACAGGAGATTCATCTGTCAGATCCTTTACACTCTGTCATCAAATTTCACAGCCTTGTCTGTACCACACATCACTGGGAACATAATGCATGCCACACTGCTCAGAAGGGTAAGGGAATATAATTCACAGAATGAAAGATAAAAGGAGGTGATGGTAAGTTTTTTGGCTACAGAAGCCAAGGTAGTAAGTAGGTCTTTGTCCAAGCACATCACACAGGTTTTAATACATTCTTTTGACTACTTGTGTGGTTGAAAGCATTTTCTCACACATAATTTTCTGGGCTTTCAAAGCTACCCTGACAGTAAGTACCACAGGTATTACTTTTGTCTCAGAGAGGTTTTCTGAGGGCCACATAGACAAATGCCAAGGCTGGATTTTAGATCTTCTGGATCCGAAACTCCAAATTCAAACACTAAATGAAAGAGGCAGGGTAAAACGTGGGATGAGGCTTCAGTAAACTGGTGGGATCACCATAGTTCACTGTTGGTCCTGCCCCCAGCAATTCATATTCTTCTTCTTCCCTGATACACAGAGCTCTACCACTGAACTACGTCTCCTGCCTGGAGCCGTGACTTTATGCTGAAGAATAGACAAGGAACGGCCTGTTCCTCCCAAGAGTGCTTCTATCTTATAAGAGAAGTGAGTCTAAATTCCAAAGGAATCATGACTGGGATGGGATACAGGCACAGTAATAAATGCATCCTGCCTTCCAGTCACAGCGGTGAGGGTGCCTCATCAGCCTGGTTGGTTCGGAGGGAGCTCTTCCTCTCATACTTGAGAGCTGGGGAACAGAGTGAAATAATCCACATCCACATGTTTACATTCAAAGCCTCCTCACCTCACAGCATACAGGCATGAGAAGGAAGGGAACGACTCAAGGGGGAAGCCTAATGGTCCAAGCCAGAATAACAGAGGTAAAGCAACGTCATCCTTACAACCAGAGAACCTGAGCCCCACACAAGGAATTCTGACTCCCCTCACCTGTACCTTCTTCCTCTGGGGTGACAGTCCATGAAGCCAAGGGGACAGATGTGCAGAGTCCCAGGATTGGGGTTGGGGACAAGGGTGTGGCTATAGAAAAGTGTTGGGGGGGCGTGCAAACTTGGACACAAAACATGGCATGTCCCTGTGCTTGCATGCAAGGCCATTCACAGTGAGGGTCAGACCAAGGATGAAATGTGAAGGGCTGCAGAAAGAGATGGGAACTTCTTCTGCCCGCTTAGCCCAACCTTGCAAATGTTAGGAGTGGACTCAAGTCTAAGGACACTCCCAGAAATGAATGAGACCAGTGTGTGATGAGCAGCTGAGATGATCTAAAGATACCTCACACTCCAAAGAAAAGTACTCCAGCCTCCTTGTGGAAACCTCCTTATTCCATACAGTCTGCATCACACTTGACTTGGTTTAATTTCTGTTTTGTTTTGTCAGCTACCTTTCACCAACATACTAGGTTTCATCAGGGCCCACTCTCTGCACAAATTGGACATTCAATGAATAATGACCACTAATGACAGTGTCTTGTCTCATTTGTTTTAGAAATTTCGAGATCATTGAACACAGTGTCCCTGTGGTTGCCCACTTACTCTCCCTCTGCTGAGAACCAAGAGTTCTTTGTTGAGGCATGTACACAAGCACATCGGTCACTGTCCCAAAGATCTTGTCTGCTATTTCCACTTTGCAAGTGGGGTCACTTCAGTCTGATGCAGTCTACCTCTTCTGTGGCAGGCATCCCGGTGGTTTTAAGGTCAAGGTCAGCACTCGACTTACTCCCGAGGTATGAAGACTTCCAGTGAAGCAGTATGATCTTCTTGAAGTACTTGATGGTGTTGTTCTTGACGGTGACGAAGCACAGTGTGTTGATCATGCTGTTGCTCATGGCGATGCACTCGACGATGTAGAAGGCAGTGAGGTAGTGTTTCTCCTTCACGAACACAGTGGGGAAGAAGTCACGCACAATGGTGAAGCCATAGAAGGGCGCCCAGCACAGCACATAAGCAGTGAGGATGCCCATGAGGACCAACACCGTCTTCCGGCGGCAGCGCAGCCGCTTCCGGATCTGCTCCGTCTGGAACCCGGGGACCTCCTTGAACCACAGCTCCCGGGAGATCCTGGCATAGCACAGGGTCATGGTGACCACGGGGCCCACGAACTCGATGCCAAAGATGAAGAGGAAGTAGGACTTGTAGTAGAACTGCTGGTCCACTGGCCAGATCTGGCCACAAAAGATCTTCTCCTGGGTCTTAACAATGATGAGGATGGTTTCGGTGGTGAAGTAGGCCGAGGGGATGGCAATGAGGATGGACACCGTCCACACCAAGGCGATCAGACCAGTGGCCGTTTGACACTTCATCCGCGGTCTCAGCGGGTGGACAATGGCCAGATACCTAGGGCAAGAGTGCAAATGCCGTGAGAGGAGCAGGTACTGGGTAAGAATTTTATTTTTCCATTATGATGAGGAGCAAAGTGTACAAGGGAGAAAGCCCAGTGAAGAGTGGATTTTCCGGAAAGGCGGACTTGAACGCAAGCCCCAGCTTAACCTCTTTGAACCTCAATTTCCTTTCTTGCAAAAGATTTTTGGTCATTTTTAAGGATTAGGCACTGCTTCTGGCAAAGTTTTAAACCCACTGTATACCAAAAACTGGCAGAAATTATTATTGACTTAGTAATAATATTTCCTATCAGTTTCCAGCCTAATTCCCAGGGAGGGAATAATTCCCAGGTATTTTTGTTCCTCTTCACTACTTTGAAGTTTAGAGTTTAATCAACCTGGTAACTCCAAAGAGATTCTGGGAGGATTTGCCCTTTCCAAAGGAAGTTCTGGGCAGTTTTTTCTTCATTCTATAGTTTAAAAACTACTGCTCAGCACTGCAGAGGTGGGGGGAAAGCTTGTGGTCTTTTATCTCATTCTCCAGGTGGAAAGATGGAGGAGGCTGGGGAGGGATGAGTGCCTCTCTTAAGGCCATATATACCACAAGAACCCTGATAGAAAACACTTAACTTCACCTCACAGGGTTGATGTGAAAAATCAATTGAGAATATACATAAGTGTATTTTTTGTAACCACAAAGCATCAGATGATAAAAGACACTGCTTTTGTTCATTACTGAAGGACCCACACAGCAGTTACCACAGTGCCCCAGGAAGGAGTGAGCACTTCCTTGGAGCTGTGAGTCATTGCTGTGGTATGACAGTGTCCGTTCCAGAGAGTGAGCACACTTAGGCAGAGAGCTCTGGTTTCCTGGAAGGCTTTCTGCACCTGGCACGGGGTGGAAGTTGGACAAGGAGAAAGGTGGAAGTGAAGTGGGGAGGAATGACATATCAACACTGGAAACAAATGCGTTCTCACGTGTCCACAGCTTACCCAGGTAAGGCTGTCTGCAAATGTGACAGGGGCCTGATAGGAAGCTAAAACAATTCTGTTTCCACTGAAACCAGTCCCTTTGAGGTCATCTCTCCCGGGTTTTTCCTCTGAAGAGAGGTCCATTTTTGTGTGCGTACATGTGATTATACTTCTGCTGTTTCTGCCCCTCCCCGTAACACAAGGAGCCAAAACAACTGAACGCATTTGGAGAGTTGCCTGGAGACTCCTGCTTGCACCCAACTCCTGGAAGATGATAGATGAAGTTGGGCTGGGTTGAGTCCACTCTCCGGTCACTGAGCTGGCCACAACAGTGGCCACCAGGATCTGTCTTTGGCACTCTGGCCAACTGCATGGTGCTGAAAGGGGAATGGGGATATGTGCAGAGCACTAGCAATGCTTCTGCCGATGCATGTGTGAGGGCTTTCTGAAAGGCCACCGTACCTAATGAAAATAGAATTCTCAATTAGCTTATTTTCCCTCCACCCACCACAAAGTTGTGCCAGGCAGTCTGTCTAAGAAAGCTTCTACCTTCATATTTGTTCACTATATGAATTTTTGCTGTACACTTCTGTTCCTTTCTTTTACAGTGTTTTTCAGCCAATCCGTGGGCAATAACCCAACCTACAACTCAAAAACCAAGAATCAAGTCCCAGCTTTGCCACATACTTCTTGTGTGAACTGGACTCATGCTTCTCAACCTTGTTGGTTGAGTTTCCTTATTTGTACAAAGGAAATAACACCTGGATACTGTGAGGCTCCAGTGAGCTATGGTATATAAACAGCAAGAAGCTATTACTATTCAAGAAATGACTAATACTTCAAAATGCTGTTGTCAGAGCTATTCTGTCTACACAGCAATGTTCTTTTACCTGTTACTGGCAAATACTGCATTTGCAAGTCCTCACTGCTTTCTATTATATTGAACCCAATCTTCACTTCAAAACAATTAGCAGGATTATTTCATTCTGACTCTCTCTGACATCCCCCCAAATGCTTACCTGAGGTTAGTGCCATATCCTGTGAAAGAGGTCTTTCTGATATATTTTCCCATAGACAAGTCACAGAAAATCATTTGGGGGATTTTTATTAGCCTTGGTTAGGCTAGGATCAGAATCCCAGAGCTCTAGTGTTAGCAACACTTCTCGTGTTTACAAAGAATTTACAATTTATAGGCACTGTTTAAATCCACATTTGCATGAGATAATCCCAACTCCACTATATGGGTAAGGAAACAAACAGTCCCATTTTCAAGAAGAGTAAGCCGAGGCTTGAAGAAGTAAATAATATCCCAAAAGCTACACAGCTTCTGTCACAGAAGTTGACAGAGCCATGACTCAGGCCCAATCTTGTTGCAAATCCAGTGGTTTCTCCAATATGCCATTTGTTCCTTCCCTTTCCAGCAAGAGCAAGCAATTCCCTTTCCTCCTGCCTTCTCAGTATCCCTGCAGCCATCTCCCCTTTCTCTCTATCAAGGTTGATTTCTACTTACTGACCTTCCATGAAAGGGTCAGACACTAGGCAGCTACTTTTCTCTAATTATGACCACATCCTTGCTATTCTCCAGTGTCTATGACTATAGTGCCTTCAGCCCAGATCCACCCAAAGCCAGCAGTTCTCAGAGAACAAGGAATAAGTACTGCTGGACAAAGAGACATCCAGGATATAGTATATATGATGGTAATAGACTGGGTTTGATTAAATGAAGCAGCGGGCTAGCTCTTTGCCACAGGATCTGCCCCCATGTAACCATGGTAATGGCAGGTGCAGTAGCTACTAGAGTGGTTGTGGGATGGGTGGAGTGTACCACCCTCTCCTAGGGGTCGCTGGCCCCAACAAATGAATGTACCAGGGGATATCTGCACTTCATAAGGCTGGGAAAGGTTACTGAAACCATTGTGGACCTCATGAAAGCTAAAAAAATGCATCTCCCAGCTAGTTCCAGACTAGTGAGCTCCCTCAGAATTATGAGTAAAAGAAAGAGAGAACCCCACCCCCAGCATCCTACTGCTGTGAGATCCATGGGATACACCTCAATGACAGTGCAAGTGTCTCCACGTCAAAGAGGAAACCCAGATCTGAGGGACAGAATTCTCTCAAGAATTTTTTCCGCTTCCCTTTTGCTAGTAAGTTGTCTGAGGTATGATAAAAAAAATACAGTGTCTAAATTCAAAACTGTAAAACTGTATTACAGTAAGAGACACCTTGCCATTAATCCCACAGAAAATACCCCCTCTTGCTTGGAACACATTTCTCATCCCATTATTCTTGCCACTTTCTGAAGCAGACCTGGAAGTCCTCTTTTGTAAGTGTCTTTTCATGGCTGCCTCAATGTCCTGAATCAATTCAAAACATCCAAGCGAATTTCTGTCAAATAAAAACATTACAGTGCATCTTCATCCACCTTATTTACAAGATCTGGCCCTGACTTCTGGTTCTTTCCCAAGATCAAGAAAACTATGAAAGGTAAGATTTTGAGTCAGTTCGGGACATCAAGGCAGGAACAGCACACCTATACATATTCACAAAGGAGAACTCTGAGAACTGCTTCAGAAATGACAACAGTGGAAGGGTCTGGGATGTAGCTCAGCAGCACAGCACCTGGCAAGCACAAAGTCCTGAGTTCAATTCCTGGTACAACAAAACAAAACCAGAAAAACACAATGGGATGTGTGTTTGAAGCCAGGAGGGAGTATTTTGTGGGTTATTATTGGCAATGTGTCTTTTACTATAATACTTTTTAAAAAATTGAAACATTCACTCATACTCCCTCTGTTGCATTTTGAGAGCTTCTGGAATATGACCTTATTCTTTCTGATCTCTGTTCTCCTTCCATTTCTTTGTCCCTGCCATGCTGTCCTCTTGAAGGTTCTTCAGCTCAGATATTGCCACATTGAGGCTTTTACAAACACTGTCCCATCCTCTTGGAAAACCTTCCCTTTCCTTTGCTGACCTTCATCTGTTGAAGGTCAACCTAAAAATCAGATCTCTTCCATGAAGCCTCCTCTGACCACTCCAGTGTACAATGATCTCACCCTTGGCCAGAGTTCATTCAAAAATGGTTCTGCACTTAGCAACTGTTTTATATTGTGAGTTCCCTCCTTCCCTCCTAACCCGCAAGATGTACCCTTCCAAGAGCAGCAATTGTCTTAGCTTCTTTTACAATTTTACTGTCCATGAATTTGGGCCACCTTGTGGGATTTTAATAAAACCCCACCCTCATCAAGTGCCTGGCGCTAGGTGAATAGAAATACAAAGAATGCTGTGGTGACAGTACTCAAAAAAGATCGCAACCTGGTTCGGAAAATACTACATAAATGTGATCACCAGTATGAGGCTGGAAGTAGGCGGGGACTAGACAAGAAAAGGTCAGAAGTGCAGCGAGGTGTGTTGAGCTGTGCTTTGTAGACAGTGGAGGCACTGTGGGTCATTTAGGCAAGGGACGCAGCTGCGTCCAAGACAGATTAATTTGACTGCAGCCCTGCTTCCCTTCCCCAAGGCACAGGCACCTGCTCTCTCGCCTAGAACAGATCAGGTCTCTTCCTGCCTTGGGGCCTTTGCATTGCTAATCCTCTTATCTGCAAAGCTTTCTCTCAGTCTTCACAAGGCTGCCTCTTCCACCACCATTCGAAGTCGGTTCCAATGTCTCCTCAGAGACTCTTATCTTGAAGCCTTTCCTAGAGCAGATGTCATGCTCAGATACTCTCAGGGCTTTTGTGGGTGCGTGTTTGTGTTCACAGTATTTGTCACTTCTGAAATTACCTTCTTTTTCTGCGTGCCTAGCAGTCATCTTCTCTTGGATATAACCTGTTCTGCTTGTTTATAAGCACCACGAGGGAAGGAGCTCTTAAAATTTTCTCTCACTCACGATCATATCCCCAGTGCTTGAAAGAGCACCTGTGCCGTGATAGTTCCTCTACAACAGTTAGGCTGAATCCACGCATACATGTGTGAGTGAAAGTTCAGGGTGGGTAGTGAGGGGAGTAGGGTTGGTAGCTGGGCAGAGCCAAGTGCAGGAAGCCCAAGGGGAGACTGTGACATCGCACAGCAAGTGGGGACAAGGGTGTTTCACCAGAACCTGGCAGTTGAATGAATACTAGTGAATGAGACAGAGGCCGGGACGAAAGAGACTTTCTAGTTTAGACGACTGGGAGAGCAATGGAAGCGACAGGAGGAACAGAAATCCAAACATGAAGAAGACAGATGGTTCTGTTGTGCTATATTATGATAGCTCTACTTTTTAAAAACCTTATATTATGATTTTTCTTTGTACCAGGAATCGAACTCAGGACCTTGCGCTTGTCAGACAGGCACTTGTGCCACTGAGCTATATCCCCGGCCCAGTATATTATGATTTTGTCTCAATCAATTGAAACAATTGTCTCAATGAAATTAAAGAAATTGGCCAATGGGAGATACCCATTAGCTTATCTGGCTTTGTGGTAGTTGTCCTTGTTCTTTTAAGGGTTAACTTGAAACTACAATATCTGCTATCTAGGGCTTACTCTGTCCTAAGGATAATTCTAAATGATTGCAGATACTACTGCATTTAAGTCTCAAAGCAACACAATGCAGAAAGTTTTCTTATTATCCACATTTTATAGATGAGAAAAATGAGGCAGAGAGAAGTCAGATAATTAAAATAAGGTCCTACAGAGAGTAGGTGGTTCTTGCAAGAATCCAATTCTCGGCACAGGAACTGCTAACATAATCCTGGGAGAAGTTTCATTAAGCAAAACTAGAGGCATTTTTTATGATCATAGGTGTATTTGTATACTAAGATAAAACATTCCATTCTCCCAAGATAACCAAATCAAGCTCGAAACGCACCGGTAAAATTTTGAACAGCACATGCGACTAGACAAAAATCAATGATTCTCAGACCAGGAAATTGAAATGAGATGCTAACAACACATTAAAATAAAATAATGTGAAACAAAGATCACACATATCAATGAAAAGAAAAAGCAGTGCATTAGAGCAGCCTGCTAGTGAGCCAAGGCCGAGGTCAGGGTGATGCCAGCGCACCACGCTTTCCTGCAAAGCCAGCACGCACGTTTCCGATCACAACCCCACTCTGAACAACAACGGTTCCCACAATGCAGAGTGTACCCCCCAATTCCTCTTTCATGGTGTATCTATTTTGCATTATGTAAACTCACGCTGTGAGTGAGAGGTCTGCAGTATCTCAGACAAGGTGCCTTTGGTATGAAAGTAGGAAGTGGGCTTGAAGGAATTCAGCAGAGTGAGGTTGATTGGTTTACACGGATATTACACATTACACATTAAAAATAACCCAGTGTGCCTCAGTTTATCTAGCATCCTCCCCCTGAAAGCCCTCCTACAGTTGTCGGCTCTGCTGGCCAGGGGACCCCTGCATGGTGAATGGACCTCCCTCAGGAGCACAGCCCCAGTCCACACTGTACCTACCGACCTTCCTTACCCTCCGTGGCTTAGCGCACCCCTGAGACGAGATGGCCTGCTACCATGCATGTTCAGGGAAAGACCCCATGCTTTGCCCTGTACATGTAGCAAGAGAAAAAGTAGCAGTTTCCATGTTCAGGGAAGGTCAGGCACCAAGTGCCTCTTCCTTGGGGACTTTGGCAGCACAACCTCTGCTTGACCTTTGCCCTCCAGCTCTTGCTGTAGGCTCACCCAGAGTTCTTGCCTAATTAGACAAAGGCCTTGACATCCCTCCCTCGGGAAGCAGGCAGTGGCTCTGTACCACAGGGGAAGCAATGGATTTTAAAGCCAGGTTCCTTCTGATCCATTTCCTTAGGAATAGACCTTCTCCAGGCTGTTCCACCACTTCTCTCCAGCTTCCCCAAACACACTCTGTTAGCTGTGCTCCTCTCTGGAACACTGGCATGGGATGCCCTGACTTCTAGAGCCAGGCTGAACCCCTCAGAGCCCCAAGGCTGTAGAACAGAGAGAACAGGTGTGCACCTGGCTGTCTGGGTTGAAAGGGAGACCGGCTATTCAGCTCTTAGTACATGGAGGTCTGATTTAACCCTCAGGGTAACTGGCTATGGACCATAGCAAGGAACTTTGTCCTGAGAGACTGAAAAGTGGGCAAAGAAGCTTATAAAGACTATTCCCAGGATCAAGGCCCACTCGGGCCCATTAGTATAGGTTTAGACCACATGAAAATAACTAGAAGAAAGGTTTACAAAGGATGCTGTCACTGATTTTATTTATCATCCCTAGAAATAGCTCCTTTACACTTTTGCACACAAACGGATATAAAGGTGCAAAGCAATTCATGAAAAAAAAAAAAAGCAAGCACATGTTCCCTTTTTGCTTTTTAAAAATCAATTATTAGGAGATCATGCACTGGTAGAGAAATTCTTTTCTTTAATTAACTTTATTGGTACATTTTAGACACACATAATGATCATGTTCATCATAGGGAATTCGTACCTATACAGAATATATCTTGAATCTTCTTTTTGCCTCAATTCCTTCCCCTCCCTACAACCTGGTAGAGAAATTCGTAATAAGATAAAAACTTCCCTTGAAATTTTCAAGTTCGCTGTAGAAGTAACTGCCTAGGACTTAAACATACTCCTCTAACCTGTCCACTGTACACTTGAAACAGGCACAACGTGTGGAGCAGGCTCACAGCAGAGTGATCAAAAGTCTTTCTACTGCACAACTGCAGGGGGCTCCACCGCCTCCTGCCTGACCAAAGCCACAAAACTAGACAACGTTTCTCTTCGGAGTGCCCCACACATCCACATCTGTGAGGAGTACGGATCATTCTCACCAATCTGCAAGTGCAGGAAAGAAAGGGCCAATTCCAGTGTCTCTGCCTCCCTGACCACTTGTGTTGTCCCCGCTCCCATGCACTCACCTGTCAATGGCGATGGCCAGCAGGGCATTGGTAGAAACGTAGAGAGAGACGGTGCGCAGGTAGTTGACAGAGGCACACAGGACATGGCCGTGCTCCCAGGACAGCTGGCGCACCACGTAGTAGTCCATCTCAAAAGGACAACAGATAATGGCCACGAGGAAGTCAGAGATGGCCAGATTGGCGATGAGCAGGTTGGTGAGGTTGCGCAGCTTCTTGTAGCGGGCCAGGGCAGCAATAAAGAGGAAGTTGCCAATGCCACAGACCAGCATGATGCCCACCAGGGCCATGCCAATGACAATCTTGGCAGCAAAGAAAGTCCGGGAATTGGTCACATCCTCCTCTTCATCCAAAGGCATGTCATAGTCACCGTAGCTGAAGTTGAATGGCAGGGAAGCAGCTTGGGCTTCGTGGGAGTCGAGTACAGAAAGGAAGGTAGTGGAGGAATTGGTGGTGTTCTCATCCATGGCCGCCATAGTGATCTCCATCTGGCCCGGCAGTGCTGTGAGTGACACTGCTGGGAATTCTGCAGGAGTGATATCTGTAGAACCGATGTTTTTCCTCTGCGCTGACAGAGCTCTCCCTTAATGAGTCAGGGTCCCTGTCAGCATCCTTGGGGTACAGTACCCGGCTCCATTCTCAGCCTTTGAAAGACACACAAACAGTTGGCTACATGTTGAATGAACCTGGCTGAATCTAAAATCATCCTGTAACCTAAGCAGATCCATTAGCCACCTGCTCAGAGTGAATATGGGGTGATGGAGTGGAAATAAACAGAGAGAGGAACCAAATGAATGGAAACCACATATTTACTTGACTAAGGCAGACTGGATTGCTATAGAGACAATCAGGCCCTGACTTTACTTTTTTCCATTCCACCAAATGTACCTTTCCTCAAGGACCATGGGTGAGAGTGTGGGATGGCTGAAGCCAGCAGTGACCTGTCCTGAACACCTTTCACTGTCCTGACTACCTGAACTATGTCCTAGGTGAACAGCCCCACTCAGTGTGGCTCAAAACAGATCATTCTGAAAGCCATAGCAGAGGGACGCCTTTGAGACAATCTGTTTGCTCCCCACTAGCTGATCTTCTGGCAAAACACAGATATAAAATCATGAAACCATGTAGCAGCTGCCTTCCCCTATCTTAACCCAGCTTCCTTTCCCACATCAAAATCTGCTGTGGTACTAGAAGATAGGTACAGTATTTCCCAAGACCAGTCCCCAAGCAAAGGCTTTGGTGGCAAAGTCTCAGCCTATCACTCACTGAATGCATTAGAGAGGTGACCGGAGACTGGAACCCTTCCTCAGGGGTTGTGTGTCCTGAGGGAAACAGCTTAAACACTCAGGGTTTCAATATCCTCCAGGCAGGAGATCAATAATGCCTGTAAAGTGCAGAGCTCCCTGGAGAGGGAGAGTGTTACACCCCAGAATGCAAGGAATTCGGAGTGCTCAGGCCAACTAGCTGCAGGGAAGGGGAAAGGGAAGGGGAAGGAAATCCTGGCGCTGAGACCACCACACCACATAAGGGGGGCGGGTGGAGGGTTTCTAAGGAGCATAGGCAAGGACCGAAAGGAAACCAGAGCCCTCTCCCCTGCTGGGCCCTCTCACAGCCTGAAGACTTCAGGCTGGGGAGCTGGACATAAGGGAAGGGTTGGGGTCTGGAGCGTACCCTACATATCAAGAGAAAAAGAGGAAGAATGATGGCAATCCCGAGTTCCCGGAAAAGGAAGGCACCAGGACGATGCCCAGGACCTCCCAAGGAAGCCTGTTGCCCAAGCTCCTCGAGGAAAGGATCTGGAGCCTGTCCTTAGGAGGCCAGCATGACAGTCCCCTGCACCCCAAGGAGTTTCAGCCCCACTGCTGCCTCCCTCCCCCAGCTCCTCATCCGGATTCTGTCCCTCCTCTGAACTCAGTCCTGTCCAGCAGATCTGCGTCTGCGCCCATCAGAGCCCATCAAAGAGCAGGACCCAGAGCCCCAAAACCAAAAGAGGCTGGAGCTTGCAAACCAGTGAGACCTGCCCGCCCTTTGCAGGCCCGTGTGTCAGGGGCACACCACTCCCGGAGGGCACCCTCCAAGCATACCACCAGGAAAGTTCACGGTCAGGATTTCAGTCTAAGAACACAGAAACTTCTGGGGAGGTGGGGGAGGGCTAGAAGACTAAGGATTTGAAGAGAAATTGTTCTGGTCTTCCCTCCGGTATTCTCGGCTCTCAGCGAGGAACCCCACTCCCCAAGTCGCCCTCTGGATCGCTGGAAACCTCTTTCTAGCCCCTGGCCACCTCTGATATGTTCTACTTCCAGCGCTCACTTGCTCCCAACTTTTTTTTTTTCCCATCTGGGAACCTGGGCAACTAGACCCAAGGACAAGAAAAGGGCAGAGCCTGGCTCTCCTGAAGAAACGCACTCTTTCGCGACCCTGGAAAATCCCCCACCCCATTCAAAAGCCCGCGCTCCCTCCCCCCCGCAGCAGCCTTGGTGCGCTGGGGTCCGTGGAGCGACCTCCCGGAGGCGGGTGCTCGGTACCTGCGGCCTCTGGCGCGCCGCTGTCAAGGGCCAGGCTTCTTCATCCCGGGGCTAGGGACAAGGATGCGTCTCCCAGAGTTCCTGGTCTGTTTCTCCTCTTTTTGAAGCTCTTGCCCAGGCTGGGGCGGGAGTTGCGCTCGCGCTGCCAGCGCAGAAGCGGGGAGAGGCAGCTGGACGCCGAGGCCACCCCAGCTCGGCCCGCCCCTCTTTGCTGTCCCTGCCCCCAGTGCCGGCGGGATGCTCGAGGCTCCAGCAGGCGAGGCCGGGCTCCAGGGGGTGCCTGAGCGCGGGCTCGGAGCGAGGCTGCGCAGGGCTCGCCAAGGCGTAGCTGGAGAGCCAGGTGGTCCCCTGCCGCGGGGTTTGGGGCGCAGGGCGGCAGCTCGGCGCTGGGCAAGAACTCCAGAGAGCCGGGCAGGCGGGCGGCGCGGCCCCGGCTCAGACTCCGGAACCGTGGCCTGGGCGGGGAGAGGGCTGTGCGCCCAGCCCGCGGGCAGTGCCCTGGCCGGGCGGCTGATCAGCCCCAGGGCTTTGGGTTTCTGGGCCGCTCACCTGGCCAGTCCAGCGCCGCCGCCAGAGTGGGCGGACACGGCCCAGCTGAGCAGGGAGCCTTCAAAGCGCCGGGTGGAGCCTCCCTGCTGCCCACAACATTGCCCTCCCAGGGCACAATGAGACCCGCCCCCACCGCAGCTGCCTGGGCGAACCCAGCTGCACACCAGGATTGTCCACTGTCAGCTGCCTGCACCTCTGCTGGAAAGAGGCTCAAAGAATGCTCTCTGGAGGGCGGTGGTCACAGTGAAGAGAGGAAGGACCCTCTCCCCTACACACACACACACACACACACACACACACACACACACACACAGGCACACACACACACACACACACACGCACAGGATATCTTTTCAGGTTAGCATGACCAGAGCTGACTTACACAGCGTAGATTTCCTACACACGCCTGTAAATTCCTCAAAATGCTAAACATAGAATTACCCTATGTTCAGTAATTCCACTCCAAGGTACTTAACTCAGGAGAACCGAAAGTGGGGATTAAAATGTGTGTAACCAATGTTCCTACCAGCGTTTTACACAATAACCAAAAGACAGAAGCTGCCCGAATGTCAACCGAGAAATGGATGAACAATATATATATGGTATATAATATAATCGAACGTTATTCAGGCTTAAAAGGAATAAAACATACCAAGTGCTGGTGAAGATGTGCAGAAACTAACCCTTAGGCTCTGTTGGTAGGAATGGAAATGGCGCAGCCCTTGTGGGCTAAGACAGTATACCTAAGACAGTATGGTGCTTCCTCAAAAAGTAAACGTACCTGATGAAGAAGCCCTGAAATGGATCGTGATGATGGTTAAACAGCATTGTGAGTGTTCTTAACGTCACTGAACTGGGCATTTAAAGTTATGAATTTTGTTAAGTGTATTTTACATCAATCTCTCTCCTATAGAATAGCTCAGAGCTCCCCAGTAAGGGGTCTATCCAATGTGTTCCATGATTGGCCTCCAGGTGTCCCTAATACAAAAGGTGCTGCTCAGGATCTGGGGCTCTAGTTCTCTCTGCCACGGCTGAATTATGTAAAAGTCACGTGTCCTGTCTGAGGCTCTTGTTAATTCATTAACAAAATAAGTGAATGAAACTTGCCTTAGAAAGTCCCTACCGGGTTCTACTGCCTCAGGCGCTGTCTTGTTCTGGTTCCATCCCTCCCTGAACAACTTCTTTGTTCATTTCCATACACTCCTGTCACTTGCAAAATTTCACAGCACTTTTGTATCTCTGAGTCTCATGTTCCCTGGGACGGAGAGCAGGATAGTGGTAAAGAGCTTGGGATGTGGAGTCAGTTGCCTCCTTTACACATAGCTCTACATGCATGAGCTCTGTGATTGGGCAGTGTGGTAACCAAACCCTAACTTTCCTCCTTTATAAATGGGGGATGACAATAGCCCTATATCATACGGTTGCTGTGAGGATTAAATAAAGTAAGACAGGTAAAGTGCTTGGCACAATGCCTGGCCCTCGCCAGCACCTGAGAAACACCAGCTACGACTGACTGTAACTGATTCTTTCCTGTCTTTCTGTGTGAGACCCTAACCCATCTTTGAGACATGGCTCGCACATTGTTTCTTTGAGGAAGCAGACCTTAATTCTCCCACTGATTTTCACTTCTTCCTTATCACTTGCTGCTTCCCTTTCAATGCACTTTGCATGTCAGTTCTCCATCTTGCCCTTTTCCCTGGGGAAGAGTCAGGTCTCATTCAGTTTCACATCCTTTTCTGCAGTTTCACAAACATGCCTGATGATTAAAAAAAAATATATCTGGGATGCCAGTAAAACCTACCTATTTTTGGGTCCCATTCCAAACCAAGGATGTAGTCTAGAAATCGGTATATTTAACCTGTACCCCAGGTGATTCTTATTGGTAAATGTGTTTGAAAATCTAGGGACCTAGAAAAAGCCTGACACAAGACTTGCCCAGTGTAGACCTGGCATGTTTTCCTGACTTGATTTATCTCTACTCAAAAGAAGAAATCATAAAGTGCATTAATTATCTACTGTGGTATAATAAATAACCCCCAAACTGCCCACATGTATTATTTCAGAGTTTTCAAGGACCAGGAATCTTGGTTGGCTAAGTGGGGTGATTCCTGGGTCAAGGTCTGCCATGAGATTGGAGTTAAACTGTCAACCAGAACTGCATTCTCCTCTGAGGGGTCAACCAAGAGAGCATGCACCCTCAAGCTCACACACATGCTCATTATTACGGTTTATATCTAGATGTCTGCCCAGAGCCTCATGCTCTCAAAGGTGATTGGGCTCTGGATGCTATAGCTAACCTGCTGTTGGGAGGTGGCGCCTGGTCAAAAGCAGCCACTGGGGGTGTGACCTAGAATGGTCCACAGTATCTCCCGCTTCTTCAACTCTCTTCTCCTCTTCCTGGCTGCCATGGTATGAGCCACTTTCTTCCACCCAGACCCTTCTACCATGCCTTCCTAACCAGGGCCCAAGAGGTGAGGATCACATGCAATAGCATGGAAGGTATCGTGGCTACCAGGCAGAACTTCAGACTTCTCCTTCCCTCTTCAAAGCCTCAGCAGGAAATGGTAATTGAAACTAACAGTGTGGTGAGTTGTAGTAAAGAACACTTCTGGCCTTAGAGTAGGGATGCTGTGGACAACTTCGGGATAAGTGGCTCTCCAGTGGGAGCTATGTCAGGAGGATGATTTGCTGATCTCCTTTGGAGAAATGGGGTAGCTGCAGTCTGTCAGGCTCTGTAAGTCCTGCTGGGGCTCCTTTGAAGGGTGGGGGTGCCTGAATCTCATTTTCTCTACCCTCTCTCATTCCTCTGTGTGAGAAGCAGACATCCAGCTGGAGTCCTGTGTAAAGTCCATACAACTGAAGAATTGTAACATCTGTGGCAATGTTAAACCAGGACTACCTAGGCACAGTGTAAATGTAGCACTCAGGTATCTGAGGCAGGAGGATCGTGAGTTTAAGGCCAACCTGGGCTATAGAGAGAGTTCAAGGCCAACCTGGGCTATATATAGCAAGACCATATCAAAAAAAAAGTTAAACTGGAAATACCTTGGCCTACAGCAAAATATGAAACTCAAAAAGAATTTTTTAACAGAAGAAAAGGAGGGGCTAGGGATTTAGCTCAGCAGCAACGCGCCTGCCTGGCAAGCACAAGGTTGTGAGTTTGGTTCCTGGTACCGGAGGGGGGGGAAAAAAAAAAAAAACAGAAGAAAAGGAATTGAGAACAAAATCTGTAACTCCATTAATGAATTATTTTTTCCAATGTATAGCTGCAAGGACACCAACAGCTGGAAATTGCCCGTAATTAGAGTACACTGCCAAGAGGGGCAGAGGTGCCCTGCTTCATCCTGCCTACAAAGAAATCCACAGTGTGAGAGAATTCGCCACCCCCAGAAGTCCTAGCCAAACAAGATCCAAAGGACCTGTTTGGGAAGTTCTTTCTTTAGAGATGTCGCCCCAACTCCGAATCATGTCTTTGGGCTACTTTTGATTGTTTTTTCTTCCCTATTCTACTCACCTGAACCATCCAGCCCTTTGAATTTTCATTTCTTCTTTTTATCCTATAATTATGTCTCTGAGTTTAGAAATAGAAGGTTTTTTTTTTTGTTGTTTGGTTGGTTTTTTTGTTTGTTTGTTTTTCAACATCTTAGGGTTTTTTAAACTGTGCAACTCCTGGAAGAATCTAGTAAATACCACTCAGAAATCTGGCTCAGTGCGGACTTTCCAAGTCATTCGATGAGTACTCTTCATACAAAAAGGTGCTCAATTAAGAAAAGGAAAACCACTTACCCAATGTACGAAAGCCAGCTGATTTCAGAACTCTTATCTAAGTCCAAGTGTGTTTTAGCCCTCTATTCAATTCTCTGGCAAGCTACTCTCATAACACATATTTACCTGTTCTCAATTTGCTGCTCTCCCTGGAATCCTTGGCTCTGGGGCCCAGGCATAATTCTCTTGTCTGGCAAATTTACTAAATCAGCTTATTTTCTGCTTTCATCAGATTTGTCCTCCTGGCATACCCCCCCCATCCAGCACCATGAAAAAAATCAAGGATCCCTGGAAGATGCCAGAGCTGGCTCAGAACTCATCCTGCTTCCTGTTCCAATTGCCTTGCCAGCATTCAAGCCAGCACTGCTTAACCCGCTTCCTGAAGCTCTCTCAGAAGGTTGGTTGGGTGCCCTCTGCCCTTCCCTCACCTGTGCAGGAGAAGAAGGAAAATTGAGATGGGTACAGCATGCCCTCAGAGGTCCAAACACTTCAGAAATATTAATCCTTTCATTAATTTAACTGGTTTAGTACTGTCCCAAACAAATTCTTAATATAATTCTTTTGGATGTTGGAAAAACTATGCATTTATTTATTTTGAAAGAATAAGCAGCAAATGAGAAACAAGGATTTCTTGAAAAAGGCAAACAATAAGAGGAAATTTTTTTTGTTTGTTTTGTTTTTTTTATTTTAGAAATAAAAGGAGGAAAATACTAACAGATCAACAACGTTTTACAAAATAGCAAAGGATCAGTACAGACATTACAGAGTTACAAACAGAGTGGTAGGGAATTAACAATGCTTATTGTATTACATATTGATATCTTCAATGTAGTTTCTCATGAAAACACATATAGACATACAAAGCTAATCAACCAATGCCTCACTGACAGTTTCTTTCAGCAAGGAAATACAGGACAGTAGAACACCCGTGTTAACTATCCTGCATATACATATATACAAACTTTCTTCTTCTTTCCCTTCTCTTTTCCCATATTCCAGTTATCCTTTACCTATGAGTGCTTTCCTATCAATTCCCAATGTCTATCATATCTCCTAGTTTAAATTAACTCTTTCAGGCTTTACACTAGAGAAACAATGCGGTGCTTGCACATGTATGTTTGATTTATTTCGCTTATGAGTATGGTCTCTAGTTGTGACCATTTGCCTATAAAAGCCTCGAGTTTATCTTTCTTTACAGCTGAGTAATATTCCATTATATAAAAGTACCACAATTTTCTTATCCAATCCTC